CTCCACGATCTCTGAGGGGGAGCGAGGCGAGGGAGGGGGGGGCGGGATCGCGAGCAGGGGCGGGCCTTCTCTCAGAAGGCTCGGCAGTCGCCGGGCCTCCCGAGGGAGCTCGCTCGGCCTGCCACGGGGACGCGCAGAGCACTTCTCGGAAGGCGCGGGGGGGCCTCTGAGAAGCCCCGCCGCCTCCGGATCAGGTCTTCTCCTTCTCACTTCCCCCCCTCGCTCGCCGCCGAGCTTCGCGACGTCTCGAGCTCTGGGAGCATCGCCCCCTGGACCGAGGCCACTCCTGGAGGAGGGAGGAGGGAGGAGGGAGGAGGGAGGAGGGAGGAGGAGGAGGGAGGAGGAGGAGGAGGAGGAGGAGGAGGAGGAGGAGGAGGAGCTTCCTGGACCACTCCCGGAGGCGCTCCCTGGCCCAGATCTCTCGAAGCGGGATCCTGGCGTGGCGAGCCGAGGAGCGCAAGAGAAGCTGAAGCCTCCCTTCCCTTGCGGATGCCATGGCAATGGGCACGCTGACAATCCGATCATTGAATTAAAGATGTGTTTCACATGTATAAGAAAGGTTCGAACTGGGGGGGGAAACAAACCTACCTCGCTTTTGACCACCCTCGCTTCCAAGAGATACCAAACGATGCCAAACTACGGCCTGTACTGGTCAGGCCGCTTGACGAGGAGGCGCGTGGTATGGCTTGGTTTTGCCTGGAAGCGAAAGCGGGGTAGGTAATTCACGCTCTGACGAACAATGCTTACGTTTTTAAGACATGCTTGAGCCATGTTTTAGACATCTGGAAATTATTTGGCAGCACGCTTCCCCTCCACTGATCGACTTCCACAGCCCTTCCCTCCTCGTCCCCTTCGTGCCACAAACCCCTACGCGCAGACGCCCGCTGGTGAGTTGCCCCATGTATCTGAAGAGAGGGTGGCGGCGCGTAAGGTGGCTGGTTCTTAGCGGTGGCCTTTACCACCCATGCACCACCGCACTCCTCCGAAGCCGACACTGCCAAGAAACTAACGGAGATAGCCAACGGATTTTGAAAAAGATGCAACCGTGATCGTTCCAAATGAGGCTTTCCCAGGTTGCCGAAAACGGTAAGCCTTCCGCGTTGCCTGGTGAGAGGGAGCGACAGTCGGGAGTTGGCAGAACTGGGTTTAGTGGGACCTGGTTTAGTGATGTGTACTGGGTGACGCCCTTCCGCCCCGTTCCACGAACCAAAACTGCCGTCACCCGACAAAAAAACACCAGCTACGGCAGGCCTGGCTCCGTGATCCTGGCCAAGTTCGGGGCCCCGGGGCCCTACTGCTAACCGGGTGCCCTCACCTGTCAGGGGGACGTAAGACCTGGGTACAGGGGACTCGGAAATCCCCGACGAGGTCGTCAAAAAAATGACGAGGCCGAGCCTGCATTTTGACGAGGCCTCCCGCTGCAGACATCCCACGAAACTCCTCCTCGTCAAAATCCGAGGCGCGGTCGTCAAAAAACGATGGCGAACCCGAGTCCTGGCAAACCCGGGTCTTACGCTCCCCCGAACCTGGGGTCCTGGCTACACCCGAGACAGGGGGGGGGGCCCGCGCAGGGAAGGAACCATCGAGCTTGAGAATCGGCGATCCCTCGCCGATAGATCGGCGGCGGGTCCCCGATGGCGGACCCGCAGGTCCCCCCTGCGGGGGTGGGTGGGCTACGGGGCCCCCTTCGGGCGTTGGCAGAACTCGGTGTGGTGGGACGCGATGTGTCCTCGGGGACGCCCCCCCCGCCCCCTTCCAGGAGCAGGAACTGCCGTCACCCGAAAAAACACCAGCTACGGCAGGCCTGGTTCAGTGATTCTGACCTTTCGGGGCCTGGGGACCCTACTACGAACCGGGTGCCCTTACCTGGGGTCCTGGCTATACCAGACCCTTATCGCCTATCGGCGATGAAAGGGCGATTGGGCATCGACACATCCCCTACCCCACCCCTGGGCCTAACCCCCCGTTAACGTTGCCCTTGATGGCCTCCTCCCTGGACTCACCGAGCCCACAGCGCTCGGAGCCGGCCCGAACCTTCTCCCCCGACGCCGCGACTTTGTCGCGACACGCCCCCCCCCTCCCCATGGGTGAGCTCGACCCCTCTCCACAAGCACCAACTTATCACCCCGGGCGCCCTTGACTGCCCTGGGGTTGGGAACCGGCCTGTCCCTTCCTGCCGTTGCCACTGGTACACCCTGCGAAATGCTTAAGAAATCATGGGTTAAGAAATTCATAGTCTCAGAACTTGACTAAAAACCCAAAATTTCTATTAAAATCTTAGGATTTACGTTGAAACATTAAGAATAATCGAGACCCTGGCCGAAAACGTAGGTTTTCTTAAGCATCGCCTAAGGTGTAGGCTATCAAGCCCCCATTGGCGACGACTGGGCGACGGGGGTCCATGCGTGTCCCTCGAGCCTTTCTTCTCCCCCCTATCGTTGCCGCTGGTGGGTTTTTGGACCCCTTATAGGCGATACGTGAGCGAGTGGGGACGATGCATTTGCCCGCTGAGCCTGTCTCCTGGCGGTTTTCGGATCGTAACTCAAGCCTCCGGCCGCCGTTCGGGACGATTCGGGCCCCCCTGGAACGCGCTCGGCGAGGCGTATGCGCAGCCGCTGGAAGGCATCCTGAGGCGAGGCTAGAAAGCCGCCGAGAACCAACGAAAGCTTCCAAAAACCGAATCAGACTTCGAAACGTCGTGCCCCTGGTCCAGGGTGAGGAAACACAAGAGTACACTGACCCCCACTGTGGGTGGGGTACACGTTTTGCGCCTCTTCTGCGAGATACCCTCACGATCGGGGTAGAATGGCCAGGGTGTTCCCTCCCCAACGGGGAGTGAGCTCAAACGCGGGGGGGACGGTCTCAGGGGCGTGGGCAATCGATTTGGAATCGGCAATAAAAAACGATTGATCGGCGTTAGGCCCCAGGCAGCGAATCCGCACGCTCCCGGGCGGAAGCGTCTGTGGGACCCCTGTCGGCGATGCAGAGGCGATTGGGGGCCCACGCGTCCCTCTCTAGCCTATCCCATCAATCGCTGCCTTTGACAGAGGGGGGAGGCGGGCACCAGGTGGGGGTGGAGGCGCGCTTTCCTTCCCCAGCGCGGATGGCAAGGATTCGGGCTGCGCACAAGCAGTCCCTCCGAGTAGCCCCAGCTAGCCTCACCAGGCCCCCCGAATACAGTAGGGTCCCGACCACAAGAAACCTTCCACGAGAACCCCAACCCTGAGTCCCCAGGAAGCCCATGGATTCCTGGCGTGGGAGAGTCACGCCTTCCACAGCAAAACCATCGAAGCCACAGCCAACCAAGGAGGCAAGCAGGGTTTTTTTTGGCATGGGCTCCCACTGTCGTCAGAGGGGGCCTCAACCCTCAGCCCTGAGGCGCGGAGCGCTTCAGGCGCGTGCCGAGACCGCCCCGGACTGTTCGGGGGGGCATGTGGAGGACCCCTGGGACTGCAGCCGAGGTTGAATGGAGAGGACACGCGAGGGGACACAATACCCATCCGAGGGCCATCTTGCCATAGGACTGCAGAGGGCATGAGCCGCGAAACACAGGGTACGATGGTGCCGTTGACTTGACGGGGTCGACGTGCGAATCGACCTCGACTGTGCCCGCGGGGGCCTGTTGGGGCCAACAGGGACCGTACCCGCGCGGGGAGGGAGGGAGTGAGGATGGGGAGGGGAAGGGAGGAAATGGGAGGGGAGGGGATGGGAAGAGAGGGGGGGGTCTGAGTGCAGCCCGAAGCCCCGCCGTGCCCTACCACCCGAGGCCTCCCTCATCGATGCGGCTCTTTGTGGAGCCCGACGTGCTTCACGTCGACGTCGCCGATGTATCGGCGATGCGGCGCAATCCTCCGACCCCGTCGGCTCCGACCCCACCAGGAGGGCATATAGGGCCGTGGCCCACCATGGAACAACAGAAACAAAGACGTAGTCGTCAAGATGTGGAGCTCCGCGCGGAACGCCAAACGTTTATGTGTATGGCGTTTGTGTTCTTCTTCGAAATCTGGCCCCGCTCCACGAACCACAATTGCCGTCACCCGAAAAACACAAACTACGACATGCTTGGTTTAGTTACTATGGCCAACTTAGAAGGGTCCAGGGCCCTTGTACTGACCCGGTTCGGTCCCCTTACCTGGGATCCTGGCCACATCCGGTCTAGAGCCATGCTTGGAGGCAGAAGATTCACACTATTATTTTGGAAGGGGCTACTTGATAAAAACACAAGCGTTTTAGGAAAGTGTTGTTGCTCTGTTGCGCGACAACCGCGGCGGCGCGTCCGAATTGCCGAGCCACGTCCTGCGCGCGCGCCCTGAATCTCCTGTCAGGAAGCATATACACGTCGTTGAAAACATGTCCAAGGATCGCCGCGACCCGATGCAGCGCGACCCTCATTACTCGAGCAAATGCATCACGGGGTGACGTGGCAGGGAAGACAGGAGCCCCCCGCCCCCGACTGGGCCCCGGCCCCGCACCCGAGGGATCTACTAAGGCAGACCGCGGATTTCATGAAAGCGAAAAATCGTTTTATCAAAGCGAGGGGGCGGCTTTGCTAAAGCGAGGAAGCGGCTTGGCGAAAGCGAGGAAGCGGCTTCAGTAAAGGCGCGCGTCCCAACACACCCTGGAAGACGACGCCTCCCTGAAGCCCAAAGAAAATCGTTTAGTCAAGCGGAGAGGCGGCTGGGGTAAAACTGCGCGCGAAAATGTCGCTCCTCTCCTCCCATAAAAATCTGGCGCGGGACTCCAGGAGCGAGGGCGGGGCGCAAGTTCTCCCGCGGGCCCGGGCCCCGCCGCCCCCGTCGCCGCGACGCTCGTCGTCGCCGCCGTCGCCGCTGCCGCCGTCGTCGCCGCCGTCGGTGCAGACGCCGCCGTCGTCGCCGCCGTCGCGGTCGTCGCCGCGACGCCCGCACGCTCACGTTACTACAAGCGGCGGGTCGCGCGCCACCGCGCGCGCCACTGCGCCCGCACTTCCGCTCCTCCGACGGGGGCCCAGGCGGACTGTCTCAAAAGTGAGAGTGAGTGGCTGCTTCCGCCCGCATCTGCCTCGAAAGTACTCCAACGGGAAACTTGCGCCCCTGACGTGCCCCCCACCGCCCGGCGAGGCGCGCCTCGGGGCCCGGCGGCCCGCGGCCCTCCGCCGCCGCCAGAGGCGGCCCGTGGCCCTCCGCCGCCGCCGCGGGCGCTGGCGGCTCGGCCGCGGGGGGGCGCCCGCCCGCGGCGGCGGCGGCCGCCGCGCCGCTGCTGGCGGCGGCCTCGGGGCCGTCCTGACTGGGCACGGGCAAAGGCTGTCGGGGGGGGGAGCGGAAGTCGGCTACACGCAAGAGTGACCTTTGGTGCGCGGTTTTTTGGGGGCCGCGTGGGGACCAAACCTGGGCGCGCAAGCCGTTACTCCTGCTTCGTTTTCAGCCATCTGGGGACCCATCTGTGCCCGCACCAAAGGTCACTCTGGCGAAAGGTCACTCTTACGTCTAGTCGAGGAAGCGGGGGATAGCAAAGGGCAGGGAGAGAATCAGCCCACGTGGCTGATTTTCCCGGCGCCTCCCGGCGCCGGGAGGCGCCCACGTATCGAGGACTGGGCCCGGCGGTGGGGCCGAAATCAGCTACGCGCAGCAGAGTTCGTAACCCCTCCTTTCCCTACCCCCCCCTTTCGTTCGGCCCGAGTCTGGGCGGCGAGCGAGGCGGGGAAGCGGCACCGGCGATGCATCGGCGATGCATCGTCGATGCACCAGTGGTTGACTACCTCCCAGACCACCCCAACCCAACCCGAAGACCCGAATTTCGGGTTGGGGGGGTAAGGGTTCCACGCGTGTCTTTTCGACGTTTCCCGACCCCCCCCCACTGGAAATCGAGGGTAAATCTGAGCCTTCGGGTTGGGTTGGGGTGGTTTGGTGGGTGGTGAGTGGTGCAATGGCGACGTCGGCGTGAAGCAAATCGGGCTCCGCATCGCGCCGCACCACCGAGGCAGCGGCGACGCGGCGCGATCCTCCGGCCCCATCGACTCCGACCCCATCTGGGAGGCCCATAGAGGCGAGGCCTGGGCGGCGAGCGAGCGAGCGAGGGGGGGGGGAATCGGGGATGGACAGACCTCCCTGTAGTCAAACGCGGTGTAGGGAGCACGACCTGAGGCCCAGACCTGGCGGGCGCAGGCCTGGAAAATCACGGCCACGGCGCCCTCTCGAGAACCGAAAACGGACAATGCACTGATCGACTGAAGGGGAACCGGGACACACAAATAAATGCACACAGATAAAAATACCCCCCATATTTTCCCATATCCTCGGGGTTTTTTGTCCCCCCCCGCTGCCCATAGTTTCGCACATTTTCTGGGAATCGCCGATTCACTGTCTGTGTGTGATTTTTCCCCTCCTGCTCGGCGCGTCACTGTTGGGGGTTACTGTCCGCCCCCGATAGGGGAGGCGAGAAGAGAAGGCCCGCTCGGAAGGCGGCGGGGCTGCGCCCACCAGCCTCGGGAGAGCCGTGCCGCGTCTTCGGGGGAGGCCTTCGCGAAGCCCATCAGGAGGCCAGGGGGGCTTCTCGGGTCGGGCGAAAGGGGGGTATAGCAAAGGGGGGGTTTGAGAATCAGCTCACGTAGCTGATTTTCCCGGCGCCTCCCGGCGCCGGGAGCGGCCATGTATCGAGGAATTGGCCCTTCGGGGAGGCCGAAACCAGCTGCATGCAGCAAACTTCGTAACCCCCCCTTTCCCAATCCCCCCCTTTCGCCCGACCCGAGCTTCTGACCTGGACCTTCCAGGAGGGCAACAAAAAAATAGCACCAGGACGTCGACGTCCTCATTCCTGTTGAGGTTTGAGGCAGTCTGGACAGATCTATAAGTCTGGAGTGCTATCTTTCAGCACTCTGGGAGGTCAGGGGAGCCTTCCGAGAAGGCCCGCCCCTTCTCACTTCCCGCCAGGGTCTGTGAAAACTCATGCCCACAGATCCAGCGCACGGAAAAGAAAAGGCGGATGCTTTTCGCCGTGTTCGGCCTCTAGAGGCCTTTGCCGGGGCCCGGGGCTGTCAAACCACCACTCGGGGAGATAAAAAACAATCTGGGGGAATGGGTCGGGACTTCCTGGGACCTGGCATCAAACAAATCACAACATTTAAGTGGGAGCCTCCCATACATGTTTTATACGATCCCACAATTTACGCTGAGTTTGCGAGTTCGGTTGTCAAGGTGGTCCAGCCTTAGCTGGAGCAGTTCCGTGGGAGTCCCCACACCTACAGACAGGGAGCCTCCCATGTCATCTTGCTGGCTCTGGCTAACCGACGCGAACAGACGCTCATCGACGCTAACCGACGCCAGTCGACGCTAAATCGACGCTGACCGACGGTCATCGTCACTAGCCGACGCTAATCGACTCAATCAACGCCAGTCGACGCCAGACAGCGCTAGATCGACGCTGATCGATCGGAGAGAAAAGAAAAAACGAAAACTCCAACGCTCTCTCCACCGCTGTCTCCGAGCATGAGGATCTTGAGCTGGATCTTCCAGCCTGCCCACGCCCCCGCACACTCGGCACGCATGTGGTCCCCGGACTTGGGCCCACTCCAGCATTGGCGCCCAAATTCGGCGGCCAGCGAGGGGGGAAGTGAGAAGGACAAGGCCTTCTCAAGAGGCGGCGGGGCTTCTCAGAAGCCCGCCGACCTTCTGAGACGTTGTCTTTGTCTTCGGGGAAGGCTTAGAACACTTCTCAGACGGCCGGGAGACTTCGGAACCTTCTGAAAAGGCCTTCTCCTCCTCGCTTCCCCCCCTCGCTCGCCGCCGACCAGTGAGACCCTCCTCACAGAGGCGTTTGGCACCGAAAAACTCGGCGGTGGACAGACCTCCCTTTACTAGACCTCCCCTTAGTGAAAACGGCCTGGGACCGAAACCGACGGACCTGTTGACCCGCAAAAATGACGGCCGCGACGCCCTCTCGCGAACCGAAAACAGCCAATTCCTTAACCGACGTGTCAGGGTAGGAGGTCTGTCCATCGCCGATGCGTCGGCGATGCATCGTTGATGCATCGGCGATGCACCGGCGATGCATCATCGACGCGGCGATGCATCGGCGATGTCGGCGTGGGGAAACACGGGCTGCACGTCGAGCCGCATCGCCGATGCAGCGGCGATGCGGCGCGATCCTCCGACCCCATCTACTCCGACCCCATCTGGGAGGCCTAGAGTTTGGCACCGAAAAACATAGCAACACACGTGCCACGAAGACGCCGAGCTCCGAACCCTCGCTGCCGCCGCGCCGCTGCCTGCCTGCCGCGGCTTCGGGCGTGCTGTCCCCTTCCAGTGCCCGGGCGCGCGGGAGGGCTCCCCGGGCGCCCGGGCGAGGCCTCCTCCGACGGTGCGCTCTCTTCTGAAGGGGCCCCAGGACACACAAATAAATAAACACAAATAAAAATATTCCCCATATTATATATATATATATATATATATATATGGGTTTTTGTCTTCCCCCCCACTTCCCATATTTTCCCATATTTTCTGGGGTCGACGATTAATTGTGTCTGTGTGTGTTTTTTTCCCTCCTGATCTTCGTCCGGGCGGTTGGCTCTCCTCGACTTCGGCCTCCGGCTCACCCTCTCGGAGCTGAGAAGGCCAGGGCTCGCTGAGGACGGGTGTCCTTCCAGGATGCCCGAAGCCCTCCCGAACCCCTCTGGAGACCCTCGCGGAAGGGTTCTGGGATGCTTTTCCGGAGGCTTTCGGGAGGGGGGGACTGGTTCTGGAAGGGTCCTCGTCGCTTCGGGAGACAGCAGGAAAAACAATTCCCAGCGAGCCCCAGGCTCTCCAACCCTGGATCGGCGGTTGGGGGTCTCCCCTCCTCCCCCTCCGCCCGCAGTCGTCCTGCTACCACAATCAAGGGCAGAAAAAACGCCCCTACCTTGGTTTACAAGGCGCTGTGCGCTGACACTCCTGTGGGCTGAAGAGGGGAAACCCTGCGTGATGTGCCGCGTCCTGAGGGCTCCAGGCTTTGGGGGTTCCCAGGAGGTTTATAGACCACGCACTTGTAACCCAGGGTAGGTTTTTTTTTTTTTTTTTTTTTTTTTTTTTTTTTTTTTTTTTTTTTCATCTCGAGGCACAAGGAACGCCCGAGAAGGGGCGCACGGGCTTCTCTGGCCACGCCGAGCCTCGGCCACGACCAAGGTCCCCCCGGGCCCAGACCAGAGGAACGGGCAGGAGAGCAGAGTCACTCTCGGGCGCGGCCCAACCGACCCCTACAGCAAGCCATCCCCTTCCGTGGCGTCGCCCTCGCACACACACATGCCTTGGGTTATGCTGCTCCCATCCTACTTGAGGACCGCATGCAAGAAATAATTTCGAGCACCCGGAAAAGTGTCGAAAGAGTGTCGACACAGTGTCGAAAGAGTGTCTCCCAGGGCCCGACACGTGAAAACCCTCGAGTTTTGGGGGTGTTTCCTGGGTGCTCGAAAGTCATTCTGGTGATCAAGGCTAAAGTAGGTTGGAACATCATAAGCCTTGGGGCGAGGCGAGGGGCACGTCACGGAAGGGGATGGTGTGTTGGGGTTCGTCTGGGCCGCCCCTAAAGCTCCTGAGCCCAAACGGGCCATTCCTTCGGCATCTTGACTGGATCCCCCCTCCCGAGACTCCCAGGAGGCCCAAAAATGGGGAAATTGGGCGAAGATCAGCGGTATGGGTACCTTTTCCTCCTCTGAGTCCTGATTTTTTCGCAACGTCGACCCCCATAGGTCTCGACACATTCTCTGTGGCCGGTTTTCTCCATCCTGAGCACTCTTTGGACTGTCCCGAAGCCCAGCAGGGGCCCCTGCAAGGAACAGAACGCTCGTCGCAATTTTTTGTCATGACCCGTGGGTTCCCCGCGATCCCAGCCCTACCCGAACAAAAATCCGTCATCGCATGGGTTCCGTGGCAGCCCGGCCGCTCCGCGGCAGCTGCCGCAGCGTGAGCTCCCTCCCTCCCCTCCGCCGCCCCGCGGCCGGCCCCCTCGCTCCTCTTGCTCCTGCTCTTGCCGCCGGTAAAATAGCGTCTGCCGTCTCCCGGCCCGCCCGAGCGCCTGTGCGGACTGGCCCTGCCGCGCTGCGACGCAAAACAAGGATTTCCCGCGATCCCTGCCCTTCTGCTGCATCGTCGGGGGACCTTGTCTGTCCCGTCGCGCCCCCATCCGCGTCGAATCCGCGTCGAATACATGTCGCACTCGTCGCACCACCCGCGTCAAATCCGAAGCGAATCCACGCCACATCCGCGTCGAATCCGTATCGAACCCGCGTCGGGCACAAGAAGAGACACCAATCTTGGAGACCCGGCTCCCCGAAAACGCAGCGTAACTGCCCCACCCAGGAAATCCGTGATCGCACGGGTTCCATATAGCAGCGTCCCGGCTCGTCGGAAGCGAACACGGGTCTGAGCCTGTCCCTGCTCCCGAGGGCAAGAGGCGGGCGGGGTGACGGCGACGACGGTCCTCGTCCCTGGGCTGTGCCCGCAGCACGACGGCGCCGGCCCCGGGCTCGGGCCGGCAGCCCAGCGAGGCCAGCGTGTCCTGCGGCCCGAGGGGGGACAGGAAGGCGGGCAGGCCGCCGCGGCGCTCTCCCCGCCCGACGGGGAGGGGAGGGCGAGGGGTGCTCTTCGAGGGAACGGACCTTCGATTGCCCCCCCCCCCCCCCCGCCCTGGAACCGCCCCCCTCTTGGGAGAGGGGGCGGGAGGAAAGGGCCTTCTCCTCCTCCTCCTCCTCCTCCTCCTCCTCCTCCTCCTCCTCCTACCCTCATATCTCTCCTCCTCCTCCTCCGCCACCTCCTCCTACTCCTCCTTCCACCTTCTCCTCCTCCTCCTCCTGATCCTCCTCCTCCTTCTTCTGGCTTCTCCTCCCCTCTCTCCCTCCCCGCCCTCCCTGCCCGGCCCGGCGGCCCCCCGCCTCCGGCCGCACCTCCCGCCCGGCGCCGCCGCCCTCGTCGTCCAGCCGGAAGAGCGCGGCGCCCACGTCCAGCCCGTTGTGGTTGCACCACGCCTGGCGTCGGCGGCGCAGCCGCTGCTGACACCGCCGCCCTGCAGGCCTCCCCCCCCACGGCCCTGTCCCCTGAGGAACTCTGCCGCCCGGTCTCCTTGCAATTGTCGGTGGTGATGTCGTCAGAGACAAGAGCGTGTGTCATCTCCGCGCGCTGCGAAGATCACCCGTTCGCCAGGCAGACCGGGAGCCCCACACGAGCCTGCCTGCGATAGGCACGCTCTTGCAGCGAATCGTGGCCTGCAAGAGCAAGCGAACTTGCCGCATGTGAACACTCACAAAGGCCCAAGCGGCCAACGATACTACATACAGACACACAGCACAACGAGAGGAGGCGAAAGGGAGGGGGAGGGAAGAGACGAGGAAGGGAGCGGAGGACGACGAGCAGGGATGGCAAGCAGGAGGAGGAGGAGGACATCAAAGAAGGTACAGAACAATCACGCGATAAACGTTCCGCTCGTCAGCGTGAAAAGTGAAGCATCGAATCCAGATCTGCGCCCTGCTCGCTCCACGAAGGCACGCGCGCACACGCATCGACCTCGCTGGGCAGAGCCCCACACGTCCGCCTCCGTGTCCTGACACGCTGAGGCGTGGCATCCTGGCCCCCCCCCCCTCTCGCAGCAGAGTTTTGCCCACGCACCCCCCCCCGCCGAGGCGCCCTGGGCAGCCTGGCGCCTGCCCTGGCCCGGGGTGTTCTCTCCAAGATGGCCCGGGAAAGCAACCAAGGCCCCCAAGAAGAACCCAAGTCGGCCCGAAATGGCCCGAGGACGGCCCAAGACGCCCCCAGGGAGGGCGCTGGCGGCAGCGGCAGCGGCGACGATGGCAAGAACGACAACGGCGTCGGGAGGCAGGATCAGTCCGCATCGAATCGGGAAGAGATCCGCGAGGCGAGGATTTAGCCAGAACCAGCGTCTGGGGGATCGATCCAGGGTGCCCTGAGCAGGCGGTGCACGTGCACACGTTTGCCCCCTAAAGGGCCCGAGTACGTCTCTCCCCATCATCCTGCCGAGATTCCCGAAGATCGCTCCCCCAAGCGATGGTTATGGACAAATCTCCGCCTCCTGAGGGCGCGTCGGATCAGGCCGCATCGGCACCGGGCCGATGGATCGCATCGGATCGGCCGCGTTCGGACGCCCAGCGAATGCCCCGAAGGCATCGGGCCGCACCGGGTCGCCAGAATATCGGCATCGGCTCGGGCCGGCCGGAGCCGGTAGCCAGGCTACCACCACAGGGAACGCTAAATAAGGATCGGCGGCGAGGGAGAGAGGGGGGGAGAAGTGAGAAGGAGAAAGCCTTCTCGGAAGGCGGCGGGACTTCTTACTTCTTAGAAGCCCTCGCGCCTTCTGACAAGTTCTCTGCGTCTCCGGGGAAGGCTCAGAAGACTTCTCGGAAGGCCGGGGAACTTCGGAGCCTCCTGAGAAGTCCCGCCCCTTCTCGCTTCCCCCAGGCTCGCCGCCGAAGGGAGCGATGATGCTGAGGCTGATGCTGCTGATGCTGACGATGATGCTGCTGCTGCTGCTGCTGCTGCTGCTGCTGCTGCTGCTGCTGACGGGGCTCCCGTTGGGGGTCCCGGAAGCCTCGAGGTGCGCGAGGGGCGTCGGAGGAAAAAAAAGAAAAACAAAAAGAACAAAAAACGAGGAGCAGCGAGCCCCTTGCGAACCCGAGTTTAGCTCCCTGCTGCAGCGTCGCGCCTGCAGTGCAGGCCAGACCACAGGACACCGCCCACGGGGAACACCACCCCGAGACCCCCGGACGTGCATCGATCTGTGGCGTGGGAGCGTCACGCCTTCCGCGGCAGAACCATCGTCCCCGAACCGACCTCGACCATGTTGGGGAAGCCAAGAGGTACTGATACAGCTACTCCCCGGGCCTCTCTCGAGTTGCGTTCTAACCGAAATTTCGAGGCGAGCCTAGCGGTGGCGACGAGAGACTCCCAGTAGGCCCCCAAAGGAGAAAACGAGGAAAAGGGATCGGTATCGGTACCTCTTTCCACCTCCGACATATACCTCGGCCCGACTGTACCTCGAGGCGGCTCCAGCGGATCGGGATGGGCCCTGCGGCGACGGCAGCAGCCGACCACGGATGGTAGTACAGGTCTCGCTCCGCGGGCCGCCTCCAGCGGGAGCCTCCGGCGCCCTTCCCACCCTACTCCTCCTCGTCCTCCTCGTCCTCCTCGTCCTCGTCCTCCTCCTCCTCCTCCTCCTCCTCCTCCTCCTCCTCCTCCTCCTCCTCCTCCTCCTCCCCATCTTCCTCCCCATCTTCCACCTCCTCCTCCTCCTCCTCCTCTTCCTCCCTCTCCCCCCGTCCTCCTCCTCCTTCCCATCTCCACCTCCCCGTCCTCCTCCCTCCCTCCTCCTCCTCCTCCTCCTCCTCCATCTCATCATCATCATCATCATCATCATCATCATCATCATCATCATCATCATCATCATCATCATCATCATCATCATCATCATCATCATCATCATCATCATCATCATCATCATCATCATCATCATCATCATCATCATCATCATCATCATCATCATCATCATCATCATCATCATCATCATCATCATCATCATCATCATCATCATCATCATCATCATCATCATCATCATCATCATCATCATCATCATCATCATCATCATCATCATCATCATCATCATCATCATCATCATCATCATCATCATCATCATCATCCATCCTCGTCCTCCTCCTCCTCTTTCCCCATCCTCGTCCTCTTCCTCCTCCTTCTCCGCCGCCTCCTCCGACTCCCCCTCGCGTTCATCCACATCCTCCTCTTACCCCTCCTACCCCTCCCGTCTCTTCATCATCCTCTTCCTCTCCATTCTCCCTCCTCCTCCTCCTCAGGGCTCGCGGAGGCCTCCTCCTTATCCTCCTGCTACTCCTCCTCGTCCTCCTCCTCATAATTATCATCATGTGTTGATGTTATGCGTCTGATTATGGTGCTTCTCCTCCGCTGCTGGACCTAGATCGGATGCAATTCCTGGGAGGTCAAATTCTGATCTTGCCCTGGTCCGAAATCTGGTCAATCTGGCTTAATCCCACTCAATCCAGCTTGATCCCGCTTTACCTGGCTTACTCTGCGGCCTAATTCCGCGCAGCAGCGCCCCGATGGGGCGCAATCCTCCCTAACCCTTCCGACGAAGACCGCCCAGTGATTGCCGCCTCCCTCGTCCTCCGCAGATCCCCACTGGAAGCCTCCAGAAACACAACCAGAACAGACGACGGCGCTTAGACGCTGGCGGGCGGCGGCGAGGGAGCCTCCACGACCTTCCTGAGCGAGACGACGGCGCTGAGACGCTGGCGGGCGGCGGCGAGGGAGCCTCCATGACCTTCCTGAGCGGGGTGTCGCGCTTGACGGTGAAGTCCACCACGAGCTGCCCGTCCTCGCTCTCGGCCACCACCTGGCCCACCGCGGGCGAGCCGCGGGCGAGGCGGCTGGGCGGGGAGCGGACCCTCGGGGCCCGAGGTCAGGAGGCAGTTCCTGCAGGGCCGTCTCGTAACAAGGAGTCGGGCGTTCTATAGCTAACCAGTCTAGTGAGGTGCGCGGTGAGGATGCAAGGGCCTTGGAGGGCCACGTTCACGTGTTTCGAACGAGGTTGGCCAGCGAAAGCATCCAAGGTTGGGTTGAGGAGGCAAGGATGCAATGGTAGCCGCGGAACGTTGCTCATCCTTACTGTTCGGGTTGACTGTAGGAGGCAACTCCTGAAAGGTCATCTCGTAAGATCGGGCTATATAATTAGCCCGATTGCGGAGCCCTGCATCCAGATTACGCCTCAGGATTAAGGCCTAAGCTGGACCAAGTGGGACTTTGTGGAATTGCGCTGGACTCTGCGGGATAAGGCCGGTGTTCGACCACGGATATACCAGCGCTGATGCTGGCACTCAATCTAGATTGAGGTCGGGCGTGTCCTCCTACAGGCGGATTTTGGACGACAAATAAAAATAAACAACAACAAAATCTAACAAGTGCTGAAACAGATGCAGCAAATCCCCCCAAACTATGTTTTGACTATTGCTGAATCGTCCTCCTGCAGAGGGACGCGTCCGACCTAAAATCTGGAGCTGCCTCCTGACCGAGGGGCCGAGAGCGCAGGGGGCCCGCGCCTCCCCGGAGAGGGGCGGCGTGGAGGGCCGAGGCTCCCGGGCGCTGCCCGCCTCCGCTCTCCACGGGAGGACGGCGAGGCCGGGGCCACGCTGACGCGGCGATGCTGCTTTTTGACGGTGATGCTGGAAACCGGACTGCAGGGAATCACGAACCACACGTTCCTACAGGGCAGGTTTGAATACGTAGGATTTTAAAGGATATAGGATTTTTAATACATGATCAACTTACGAATAAATTTGTGCATGAATTCATCGTTGTTTTTAATACTAAGCCCTGCATTTTTAATACATGATCCGCACGCGGAGCATGTATTTAAAACGGCACTGTACGTTGCCGATCTCCGGATGCATCGACCGAAAACGACGCAGCGAGTTGCAGGAAAGCACGAGCCGCGCGTTCCAACAATACCGAGACCTGCATCGCCATTACCTGCATCGCCGTCAGCGCATCTACGGAGAGAGAGAGAGAGAGAGACAAAGAGACAGATAGAGGGCCCAGTACAGCAGGAGCTCGACCACAAGAAACCTTCCACAGGAAGCCCAATCCTGAGACCCCAGGATGCCCGTTGATGTTTGGTATGGGGACGTCACGGCGTCCATAGTAGACCTGTCGAATCCCGAGAAACCCAGGGCGCACCCTGGCGGCAAGCAGGGTATTTCTTGGCATGGGCTTCCAATGTACGGCAGGTTCGTGTCGCGGCGACTTCGGCGTTGGTTCCTGACACCGCGGGTATCGTTCAGCCTTGAATACCAGCCGTTTCCGAAACGTCCGACTGTTCAACAACGGCCGATGCTGGGTCGCCGGTGGCGTTCAACGTTGGACGCTGGCGGCGGGGTCGCCGCTGGTCAACACGACACGAGCCGACAGTACGGGTGTACCGTGACGCCCACCTCGCCACCCAAATGACGCTCCAACTCAGAGAGGCCTCTGCATGCAAGCCGCCGAGGCCCACCCGAGGCCGCGACACGGCCTGCGACGAGGAGGGGGCACGCGAAGGCAAGAGGCCCTGCGGCCTCCTCCCGTCCAATCTTGGAGGCATCTGCTGATTCGGAGTGGCGGGTAGGCCACGTCAAGTCCCTCCACCACTCCCCCACCTCCACCCTCTCCCACTCCTATGCCTCATCCACCCTTATCCCCCGCCGCCTTCCCCCCTCATCCCCACCTCCCTCATCCCCCTCCCTCATGCCCCTCTCCCACTCCTCCCTCCTCCTTGTCCCCTTCCCCAGGCGGGTTCCCTGCTCCTCTTCCTCCCTCCTCCCCCCTGCTCCTCCTCCTCCTCCTCCTCCTCTTTCGCCGCCTCGACCTCCTCCTCCTCCTCCTCCTCCTCCTCCTCCTCCTCCTCCTCTCCTCCTTTCCTCCTCTCCTCCTTTCCTCCTCTCCTCCTTTCCTCCTTCTCCAACGCACGACGCTCGACGGGTCAGAACGCTGGTGCTGCTGCCGCCGCTGCTGGCCTCCCGTCCCCCGAGCGCACGGACGTCGCCCTGACCCCCTCCCGCCCCGCCACCCCCTGGGCTTCGAACGCCCGGAGTGGGTACGGACAAAAATGGGTACAATGCAATGCCCACCAACAGATGCTGCCCAAAACCGACAGAGGCCGCAATTGGGGAGGCGGCCTTTGGCCTTGAATGAACAGAGTCCGCGGCGGTGCGGACAGCGAGCTCTGTTCAAAACGAACAAGAACTGCTGCTGGGCATCCTGCCCCATCTTTCCGCATCCATTTCGATCGTCGGCGATCTTCTGACCCGGGTTAATCCAGACCCGGGTCTCGGCCAAGCCTTGCGGAGTCCTGCGGCATCCTGCAAGACCCTGCACCCAAACCCGGGCCAGTGCGAAGGATCCGGCAAGGATCCTGCAGGATCCTGCGCCCAGACCTGGGTCAATGCAGCCCTGGCCCTGCAGGATCCTGCAAGACCAGGCGCCCCCGCTTGCATTGCCCCCCGCCTCTTCAGCCCAGAGATCGTCCCCCTGGCCGCGCCGGCCGCCCGGGCCTGCACGAGGACCTTCTCGCCCTCGACCTTCACGGCGGGCCCCGCCGCGGCCTCGCCGGGAGCTGCCGGCGCGCGCGCAATCGCGCTCTCGACGAGCGCTCCGCGCCGCGCTCGCGCGACCTTCGGGGGCGCGCCGCAGCCTCGCGAAGGCCTTGGCGCGCGGGGGCGTGCGGGGGGTCGCGCGCGGGGCGAGCGTGGCGAGACAGTGAGCGACTCGGAGCCGCGTGCAGAGGTGGCCGTGACGTGCCCCCCTTTGGGAAGGGGTGGGGAGAGGAGGGGCGATGAGAGGTCCCCTCGTGCAGCCCACCGGGCGCATGCACGCACGACCTGCGTCGAGGTGCCGCGTGGGCGCGGCAGGGGAGCGCCAGGTCGCCGCTGAATGAGGAGGGTGAGGCAGCAGAAGGGGAGAGGGAGCAAGGACCGCAGTGCAATGCGGTCCACCGATCACCTCGCCAGATCGGCCTCTGGCTGGCGAAACCCAACAGGCGACCACGCACGGCCCGAGAGGCTTCGACCGCTTCCCATCGGGCCACCTTCTCGTCGCGGAGTGCTCTTCGATGGCGCCGCGGCCCTCAAAACTGCGCCCATAGGCCAGGATCGGATTCAACAAAAACAGAAGGAGCATAGCCTGTAGAGTATACATAGCAAGTGCGCGTGCGCGCGTGTGTGTGTGTGTGCCACCCAGGTGGCGCGCCATTGGTTGCGCGATCCACGGGTTGCACCACAGGTTGCGTGAAAGAACCATGGATTACGCCATGGGCTGCGCGATCCTTCCTCTGCGCCATCCACAGGCTTCGCCATGGGTGCGCCAATCAACCGCGGGCTGCGCCATGGCTTGCGCCCTCGGCGGTCGAGAGTACAACGGCCAACCACTGTGCACTCGGCGACCGAACATAAAACGGCCAGCTTTGGCTGCGCGCACAAGGGGGTAGGGGGAGGGGGGAAGGCTTCTTAGACGGAGGCTGCTTCTTAGAAGGCGCCGGCCTCACATCTACAAAGAAGGCCCGCGCCTTCTAAGAAGCAGGGGTGCTTCTAAGAAGCCTTCCCCCCTCCCCCCACCCCATTCTGCGCGTGGCCAGCAGCTATTGGTTGCGCCACAGGGTTCGACGTCGGCGGCCGAGAAGAGAACGGCATGCGACTGGTGGCGCGCCATGGGCCGCGAAGTCGGCGGCGAGGAGGAGGAGGAGGAGGAGGAAGGGAGGAGGAGGAGGAGGAGGAGGAGGAGGAGGAGGAGGAGGAGGAGGAGGAGGAGGAGGAGGAGGAGGAGGAGGGGGGGGGAGGAGGAGGAGGACCAGGAGGAGGAGGACGAGGAGGGGGAGGAGGAGGAGGAGGGGGAGGAGGAGGAGGAGGAGGAGGGGGAGGAGGAGGAGGAGGAGCAGGCCATGGGCCGCGAAGCCGGCGGCGGCGAGCACCGCGGGGCCTGCCTGCTGCGCGCGCCCAGCCAGCCGCGCACCCAGGCGGCCCCGACGAAAGGCGACCCGCACGTCGGTCGTCCCGTCCGCCCCTCCGTCAGCCGAGCAGACCAGGGTACAGTCAAAAACCCTAACAAGGACGCGCGGTAAGGACGCGAGACCCTTGGAAGCCGAAGTTTGGATTTTTGGGGCGGCGGACGACGAATACCCCAAAGAGGGGTTACCCTGACAAGCGGGCAAGCGAAAGAGGCCAAGGACGAGCCGCAAGAGCAAGGAAGAGCAAGGACGCAAGGGTACCCTGAGCAAAGTCGCGCGTCCTTATTAGGGTGTTCGACTGCACCTCGCGAACAAAAACGAGCTCGGGCTGCGCCCGAACAAGCATGGCTGTGGATGCCATGACAGTGGACATCCTGACAATCCTACCATTGAATTGAAGATGTGTGTTGCATGTTTGCAGCTTGTTCTAAACATGTTATTTTAGCATGCGCCCTGCATGCTCAAGACATGCCTGAAGCATTGTTTAGACATCTGGACATCATTTGGCAGCGTGCTGCCTCTCCGTTGATCGTCCCCCACAACAAAAAAACAAGCCTGGGCTGCGCCCGAGCAAACATGGTCGGCCCGCGAACCCGGAAGTCCGAACACGCGCGCCGCGCTCGGGCCGTGCTCCGGAAACAGAATCCGCTGCCCCCCTTCGACCTCGTTGGCTGCGTGTCCGCAAGAGTGCCCCCAGCCTTAGGTCGGGCATGCCCCCCTACAGCCAGATTTTGGATGGCAAATGCAAACTACTCAAAAAACAACTCCCCACATGCTTGGAAAAAGTTAAGAAATAGTTCCCAGACTATCTTTTAACTATTTTTGAACCTCCTTCCTGTAGAGGGACAGGCCCGACTTAACACCAGCCCCCTCCCCTTAAGTCGCGGAGCGGGGGAGGACCGCAACTGAAAGAACGCCCTTGGCCTGCGCCGTCCATGATTGTCGTCGTCGTCTGCGTCACGGTCGTCGTCTCTGTCATCGTCGTCGTCCTCGTCGTCAGCGCCGTCGACGGCGGCGACGGCGGCGACGCTCGGCGACCGTGCGGCGACCGCTCCCCCGTCGAGTTGGGGACCGACTGCAGAATTGACTGGCCCCAGGATGGAGATTCCCGTGGAATCCACGAAACATGGGCAAACAACTCGCATGTCTAGTTTCTTCTCCCGTAGATTCGACGAGCAACAGTTATTGTCTGAGGCGAATGAACTCCGCAATCGGTCCTCCACTCGACCCAGCGCAATCCCGCCTCTCGAAGGTCGGGCGCCCCTGGCTGCGGCGCCTCCGGCGACGGCGCCTCCGCGGGGGCGCGCGGCTGCACGGCGGGGCGCGCTGCAGTCGGTCGGCACGCACGGGTTTCGGAGGCGGCCAGAGGTCCTTCGGCTCTCGCTCGATCCCCGATCGGTCCTGGATCCCCGACCCTCGATATTTCAATCCAGGGGTCGACCTAAACAGTGTTTGTCGTACTCGTTTTGTTTTCGTTGTCCCTCGTTCCCCAAACAGGGGTTACACTCAGGGGTCTTACGTGGCTGAACCATCTCGGGGTGGGTGGCTTCTTTTGCGAGCGGTGCCGTCCGTCGCCGCCGCCGCCGTCGCCGTCGCCGTCGCCGCCGCTCGGGGCGAGTGACGGCTGTTGCGGGCGGTGCCGCCCGTCGCCGCCGTCGCCGCCGTCGCCGTTGCCGCCGCTCCGGGCGAGTGGCGACTTTTGTAACCGGTGCAACCTAGCACCGCTGTCGCCGTCGCGTGGATTCTCTTCTCTTTCAAAATTAAATTCTACCCCCATCACCCCCCCGGGGTTCAGCCCCACGCGTTTCGATTGGAAATTCATATATGATCGTGACCCGTCGCTGATTTTTCCGATGAGTCCATACCATCCCAGGCCAGCCGGTATCGACCCCCAACGCCATCCTCTGCAACATATACAATGCGCGCACACTCGTTTATCAGAAATCATAAACTTCCGATAGTCCTTTTACAAAACAGCGGGACGAAAGACGCACGCGCGCGTCGTCGCGCGCGCATGCCCAGATCCTTGAAATAAACTCTCGGTTTCGGGAAGATTCCGAATCCAGTGTATAATAAACATATAAAAAACACAAGGTTTCGCAACACGGATTCCCCCCAAAAAACTTGTGCGCGCGTTCTTGCGATCTCGTGAGAAAACCAACAGTTGTTCAATATCTAATGGAAATGCTACCAAACGAGCTCCGCGCGCGAGCGCATGTCGAAATTGTTCGAACGCCCTTGCGCGCGCGCCGTCGCCAGAATCCTTTGTTTTTTGTTGCACGCGCGCGCGTCGTCGCGCGCGCATGCCGAAATCCTTCAAAAACCCTCGGTCCCAGATGAATTTCAAAAAATGGATGTCCAACAACATACAAAAACGCCGAGTTTCGAAACACGGATGTTCAACAAAAGCGTGCGCGCGCTCTTGCGAGTTCTTGAGAAAACCACACGCATTTCACGCGGGCCTCGCGTGCGCATGTCGGAATCATTCGAACGCTTTGCGCGCGCGCTGGGGTGGCACGATCCGTGTCACATAACACCATGCGGGCCACTCTCGCGCGTCGGCCGCGCGCGAATGTCGAACTCTGTCCAAAAACCTTCCTCACCGACGCGGGGACGCCGTCATCGTCGCCGGCGTGATCGGCATCGGCGCCCGCACTGGTCGCGCCTTCGTCAGTGTGAGCATCAGCGCCAACATCGCCACTATCATCATCGTGTCTACCGTAGCCGGCGTTGCCATGATACCGCGACCGCCCAAGTTGCCGACTCGCAATGGAATGCCCGCTGGGACGCGCCCAACGGTCAGCGCCACCGCGGCCGCGTCGGCGGCGCCGAACTAGCTGGCCGATGCGCGCGCGTGATAGGGTCGGCGCGGCGGCAAAGATGCACCAGCCAACGCAAAGCATGCATCGCAATCGCCACCGCATGGGTTTTGCAAACCAAGTTTCGGGCGGGTGGGTGCGCTGTTTGCAAGAGCGTGTGAGTTGACAACTAACTGCGAACGCAACTTCACTCTCCTGTCTAACATAAGAATAGACTCTACCCCCTCCCCAAAAATGATAGATCCCCTTTTCGTCTTGCAGTTTACATATGGTACTGCCCCATCGTCCATCCGACCTGTAAATTCATACTGTCCCAGCCAAGCCGGTATCGACCCCCCCCCCGCCATCCTCTGAACAAAAACTGTATACGCGCGCGCACTCGTTTAGCAAAAATCAGAAATGATTTTAAAACACCTTGCAAAAAATACAACGAAATGCACACGCGAACGTCGTCGCGCGCGCGAGCCGGAATCCTTCAAAGACCTTTGCCTTCGGAAGGATTTCAAAATCGAGTTCCCAAAACACATGCACAAACACATGCTTTCGCAACACTGATTGTCTAAAAAAGCTTTCACGCGCGCTCTTGCGAAATCTTGTGTATAAAAAACCATATGTGTTCAACATTTCCGAAAAATTGTCAAACGGGCCTCGCGCGCGCATGGCGAAATCGTTCGATCGCCATTGCGCGCGTGCCGTCGCGAAAATTCCTCGGCAAACAAAAAAAACGAAGTGCGCGCGCGCGTCGTCGCGAGCGCATGCCGAAATCCTCTGAAAACCTTCGGTGTCGGAAGGATTTCATTTCGAGCGCCCAAAAAACATACAAAAACACAGGGTTTCGCAACACGGATGTTCAACAAAAGCGTGCGCGCGCGCTCTTGCATTGTCGTCGTCGTCATCGCCGTCCTCCTTCGTCCCTCGTCGTCGTCATCGTCGCCGTCGTCGTGCTCTGTTTTTCCTCGTCGTTGTCGTCGTCGTCCGTTTTGGCGTCGTCGTCGTCCTTGCTTCCCCCTTCGTGGTCGTCGTCGTCGGCGTCTCGTCGTCGTCCCTCCTATTTCGTCGCCGTCGTCGTCGTCGTCGTCGTCTTCCCTCCTCCCTCGTCGTTGTCGTCGTCGGCGTCGCCATCCTCCCTCCTTCTTCGTCGTTCGCGTCCTCGCCGTCCTCCCTCCTCCCTCGTCGTTGTCGTCGTTGTCGCCGTCGTCGTCATCCTTCCTCCCTCGTCCTCGTCATCGTCGTCGCCAACGTCGGCGACGTCGTCGTCGTTTTCGTCGTAGTCGACGTCGGCATCGACGTCGTCGTCGTCGTCGTCGTCGCGTCGGCGTCGTCGTCACCGTCGTCGTCGTCGGCGTCGTCATCGTCGTCGTCGTCGGCGTCGTCGGTGTCGCCGTCGTCGTCGAAATCGTCAGAAACGTCGCCACTATCGTCGTAGTCGTCGTCGGTGTTGTCGTCGTGGTCGTTGTCGTTGTCGCTGTCGTCGTCGCTGTCGTGGCCAACTGCCATCTAGTACCCATCGTCACGGTCTTAGGAAATCTTGCGACCAAGTTGCGGGCGGGAGGGTGGGACGTTTGCGCGAACAGTGGAGTGGACAGCTCCAAGACAGCCAAACTGACTTACACCACATATATTGCACCGCGAATAGCGCATTACATGAGTCGCACCGCGTAAGAGTGCACCACGCAGATTGCACCGCACATGTTGCACCGCATAGATTGCATTACATAGGTCGCATCGCGTAAACTGCCCACGTAAATTGGACGGCGCAAAACTGTGTTGCGTAGGTTGCACCGCGTAGATTTTTATCAATTAAGAATCGACTCAACCCCACCCCGCCCCGGATTATCGGCCCCCCTTTTCGTAGTGCAATTTGAATACGAGTTTGCCCCATCGTCCATCCAAAATATGACCTCGTACCATCCCAGACAGGCAGGCACCGCTCCCCCACGCCATCCTCTGCAACAAGATAGTATGTGCGCGCACCCGTTTATCACAAATTGCAAAGAAACCCTTGCAAATTTTTATATAACAACAAACAAAAAGTGCACACGCGCGCGTCGTAGCGCGCGCATGCCGCAATCCTTCAAAAACCGTTGTTTTCGTAAGGGTGTCAAGATCGAACGTCCAAACAACGTATGCAACGCAAGGTTCCGCAACGCGGGCATGCTTGAGAAAACCAAGTTTTCTCACTTGCTCCAAATCTGTCACCAAACGGGTTTCGCGCGCGCATGCAGGAATCGTTCGAACGCCTTTTGCGCGCGTGCTGGGGCGGTACGATCCGTGTCGAATAATACCATGCAGCCACTCTCGCGCGTCCGCCGCGCGCATGTCGAACTCTTTCCAAAACCTTCATCACCAACGCGAAGACGCCGTCATCGTCGTCGGCGTGATCAGCATCGGCGCCGTCACTGGCTGCCCCGTTGTCGCTGTCAGCATCGTCGCCAACATCGCTACGATCATCATTGTGTCTATCGTTGTCGGCGTTGCCATGATACCGCTCCCGCCCATGTCGCCGACCTGCAGTGAAGGGCCCACTGGGATATGCCGAGCGGTCAGCGCCACCGCGTTCGCGTCGGTCGCGCCAAACTAGCTGGCCGCTGCGTGCGCGAGCGTGCTAGCGCGGCCGCAGAGATGCACCAGCCAACACCAAACGCTCATCGAAATCGTCGCCGCATGGGTTTTGCAAACAAATTTGCGGGTGGGTGGGGTGATTGCGCGAGCAGTGGAATTGACAACTCCCGGTTCGGTTTGTGAGTTGCACCACATACATTGCATCACATTGAGTGCACCGCGTAGATTACATTGTACAGGTAGCACCGCGTAAATTCTCCTTTCCCAAACAAATTCGACCACCTTCCCCCAGGGTTTCAAGACCCTCCAAGAACCGATGTAAAACACACAGGGTTCTGACGCAATGCCCATCCTACCTGTGACTTAATACTATCCCAGCCAAACCAATATCGGTTTTCCCCGCCATCATCTGCCACCAAAGTATGCGCACATTCGTTTATCACAAGCCATAAGTTTTCACAAGTCATCTGCAGGAGATGGGGCGAAGTGCGTACGCGCGCGTTGTCGCGCGCGCATGCCGAAATCCTTTGAAAACCTTCGGTTTAAAAAAGGATTGCAAAATCGAGTTTCCAACAAACATACAAAAACACACGGTTTCGCAACACTGATGTCCTAACAAAAAGCTTACGTGCGCGCTCAAGCGAAATCTTGCCAAAACCATAGGTTTTTCACTTTGTTTCAAGAAAAAATTACCAACGGGGCTTCGCGCGCGCATGCCGAAATCTCTCGAACGTCCTTGCGCGCGTGCCGTCGCGAGAATCCTCTGCAGAGAATGGGGCGACATGCGCACGCGGGCGTCGTCGCGCGCGTATGCCGGAATCCTTCAACAGCCTTCGGTTTCGGAAGGATTTCGCAATCGAATATCCAAAAAACATGCAAAAACACAAGGTTTCGCAACACGGATGTTCAA